GAAACATCCGGGAAAGTATCCCCGGTGTTCCGTGTTTCCGGACAGATGCACTGGAGGTGAAATGTTGCAGGTTCACTATGCTAGGGACGCGTGGCGGCCGAACGGGCTGCGTAACCGGATTCATCTCATCGTTATGAGCAACTTTCATGTACAAAGTATTTTCATCCCAGCTACGGTTTATTTCTATTAATTTATAAAGTTTTAAAATCATTTTCTAATTTATTATTATTAAATTAATTCAAAATTGGTATTATTGCATCAGCATGACGTCAGCAGTCAACAGAGGTGTTGACTGGTCAAACTGACATGAGGGTCCCGCGTTTCATTGACTGATTAACTAACTAATAGTTAATTAGGTTAATAGTGATTAAATCAATCTAATCACGATTAATTAATTTAATTAATTTAGTTAATTAGCTAATTAATTAATTAAATTATTTTTATTATTTCTTTTTCCTCTCTTTTTTATAAAAAATCGTTCTGGGGGGTGGGGCCCCACAGGTCATTGGCCTAGAGAGGCCTTGCGGGCGCACGGGTTACGGGTGCTGCTACGGGCACCAGCCCGAACGGGCGCAGATGGTCGCCGGTGAAGGGGCGGGGCCATTCGGGGCGATGGGGCGGGCGCAGGACACCGGGGCACAGTGGGGCGCCGGCCAGGGAGTGGCCGCGGGCAAGCTGGAGCGTGATGAGACGGGCGCGGCCAGCCACTGGGCAAGGCGCAACGGGGCGATGCTGGGTAGCAGCGGGCGTAGGCAGGGAAGGCGGGCACGCGTGCGCGCGCGCGATGGCGCGCTGTGCGGGGCATGTACGGCCCGTAGCGCGGGCGCGTTTAGTGACAAGCAAGCAGAGGGTGGATGGGGAGCGTGCTCACGAGCGTTGAAGGGGAGGGGTCGACGTGGCTCGGTGATGCCGGCGAGGGAGAGGTGGGGTGGCGCAGTCCAGCGGGGAAGCAGTCCGGCGAGATCCACGGGCGATCCGACGACGACACGGGATCGAGCTCGGGGAAAGTGGTCGGGGCAGCCTGGGCCGGGCGGAGGCCGGCGAATCTACGGGCGGCTTCCGATGACCGACGAGGAGCTCGTTGGGGAGGAGTCGAGCTCCAATGGGTGGCCTCAAGCGACGTAGCTCGAGGGGATCCGGCGGGGAAGAGACGATGGGGTGGCCGAGGCGGGGGTGCTCTGGGTGGCGTCGGCGCGACGACGGCGGGACGGGCGCGGGCGTCGCCGGGGTCGGGCCCCTCCCCGATCCAGATGGGATCGAGAGGAGAGAGGGGAGAGGGAGAGGCGAGCGAGTGGGGGAATGGGGATGTCGGTGGGATAGGGTTTGACCGGGGTGGGGTTAGTAGGCGCGGGTGGGCCGGCCTGGTTGGCCCAATGGCCAGCTGGGCCGAGGCCTAGTGGGGGGGGGCAGGCTTTTGTTATTTTTTTGTTTAGTTAGGTTCTGCTTTTCTTTTTATTTAATTATTTTCTTGTTTCCATCCACTATAAAATATCTAGGCATTTTATAAAAATGTGTTTATTGCATCATATTTGCATATGTAAATTATGGCACCTCTCGAACATTTTTGTTTTAACTTTCGAAAACTTTTATTGTTGACATTAATTTGAATTTGAATTTTGAAATGGTTTCGAATCATCGCGAGGTTAACAACAGTGACCGTGGTGACGTGGATCATTAGCGTGGGATTACTTTAGCTTAATTATCCGGTCGTCACATAGAGCTTGGCGAAGCCCTGCCGAGATCGCTGCTGCATCCACCACCACGCCATCGTGCTGCTGGATCTCCATCAACCTCTCCTTCCCCCTTGCTGGATCAAGAAGGAGGAGACGTCTTCCCAACCGTACGTGTGTTGAACGAGGAGGTGCTGTCCGTTCAGCACTAGGATCATCGGTGATTTGGATCACGACGAGTACGACTCCCTCAACCCCATTCTCTTGAACGCTTCCGCTCGCGATCTACAAGGGTATGTAGATGCACTCCTCTCTCTCGTTGCTAGATGAACTCCATAGATTGATCTTGGTGAAGCGTAGAATTTTTTTATTTTCTGCAACGTTCCCCAACAAAGTGTAGGCGATCGCAACAGTTTTCGAGGGTAAAGTATTCAACCCAAATTTATTGATTAGACACAAGGGGAGCCAAAGAATATTCTTGAGTATTAGCAGTTGAGTTGTCAATTCAACCACACCTGGATAACTTAATATCTGCAGCAAAGTATTTAGTAGCAAAGTAGTATGATAATAAAGGTAACGGTGACAATAGTAAAGATAATAGTTTTTGGGTTTTTGTAGTAGTTGTAACAGCAGCAATGGAAAAGTAAATAAGCGAAGAACAATATGTGAAAAGCTCGTAGGCAATGGATCAGTGATGGATAATTATGCCGGATGCGATTCCTCATGTAATAGCTATAACATAGGGTGACAAAGAACTAGCTCCAGTTCATCAATGTAATGTAGGCATGTATTCCGTAAATAGTCATACATGCTTATGAAAAAGAACTTGCATGACATCTTTTATCCTGCCCTCCCGTGGCAGCGGGGTCCTAGTGGAAACTAAGGGATATTAAGGCCTCCTTTTAATAGAGAACCGGAACAAAGCATTAGCACATAGTGAATACATGAACTCCTCAAACTACGGTCATCACCGAGAAGTATCCCGATTATTGTCACTTCGGGGTTGTCGGATCATAACACATAATAGGTGACTATAGACTTGCAAGATAGGATCAAGAACACACATATATTCATGAAAACATAATAGGTTCAGATCTGAAATCATGGCACTCGGGCCCTAGTGACAAGCATTAAGCATAACAAAGTCATAGCAACATCAATCTCAGAACATAGTGGATACTAGGGATCAAACCCTAACAAAACTAACTTGATTACATGGTAAATCTCATCCAACCTATCACCGTCCAGCAAGCCTTCGATGGAATTACTCACGCACGGAGGTGAGCATCATGAAATTGGTGATGGAGGATGGTTGATGACGACGACGTCGACGAATCCCCCTCTCCGGAGCCCCGAACGGACTCCAGATCAGCCCTCCCGAGAGAGATTTGGGCTTGGCGGCGGCTCCGTGTCGTAAAACGCGATGAAACTTTCTCTCTGATTTTTTCTCCCCGAGACGGAATATATGGAGTTGGAGTTGAGGTCGGTGGAGGTCCAGGGGGCCCACGAGATAGGGGGCGCGCCCTATAGGGGGAAGGCGCGCCCCCCTGTCTCGTGGACAGGGTGTGGCCCCCTGGTGTATTTCATTTTCCCAGAAATTCTTATTAATTCCAAAAAGTGCCTCCGTGGATTTTCAGGACATTCCGAGAACTTTTCTTTTCTACACATAAAACAACATCATGGCAGTTCTGCTAAAAACAGCATCAATCCGGTTTAGTTTCATTCAAATCATGCAAGTAAGAGTCCAAAACAAGGGCAAAAGTGTTTGGAAAAGTAGATACGTTGGAGACGTATCAGGCCAGTGCACCACCTGGCAGCTCACGTCATCCTGAGCCGGCGCAGGGCGCGGCGGGTCACACCGCGGAGCCACGCGCCTTGGCTCGATAATGGTGCCCTGGGCCAGAGGTGGTGGAGGAGCCCCGTGCGCCACGTCGCTCGCTGCAGGTGGTTGCTGAGGCAGCGAGCGAGCCGGCTCGGCGGAGCCCCCATGCGCAACGCTGATGAGCTCAGTGATCCTCTCGAGCCACTCCTCGTAGAGGTCACCGACCGGGCGGTAGCGAAGGAGCTCTCGTGCCATGAGAAGAGCGTCATGCGCATCCGCCTGGCCTCGACATGCGTGGGACGATGAAGGTGCTGAGGTCAGTGACGGAGTAGCGGTGCGGCCATCACGGTGCACCGACGGGTGCAGTGATGAAGCTTGCTGCTCATGGCCGGCAAGGACCGTGGCGGTGTTGGCCACCAGAGAAGGAGCACGACGGGCACAACCGTCACCCGCCGGAGCCGTCTGAGCGACGCGGGCAGCGACTGCAGCCCGACGCTCGGCGCGAGCCCGGCGCTCGTCGGCCATGGAGGTGTCGGAGTGGTGGTGGATCGATCGACGGAAGAGAGGATCCGACGCACCCCTACCTGGCGCACCAAATGTTGGATTGTGGGATCCGCAAACCCTTGAGAGGTTCAAACTCTGGGGTGCGTGCGGAGATCTCAACCTACCCAGCCTGCCTACTCGCGATCCTCCTAAGACTAGCGCGTCGAGCTCAAAGGGACAAAGAGACACGACAGTTTATACTGGTTCGGGCCACCGTTGTGGTGTAATACCCTAATCCAGTGTGGTGTGGTGGATTGCCTCAAAGGGCTGATGATGAACTAGTACAGTGGATGAACAAGCCTCAGGAGGTGAGGTGTTCTTGAGCTGGTGTGGTGTATGCTAATTCTACTTGTTCTGATTTCCTCTCCCTTCTATGGTGGTGGCTAGTACTATTTATAGTGGCCTTGGTCCTCTCGATGACCTCCGTCCTGCCATCCTGGCGGTCTTGGTCTCGTTGCACCAAAATGAAAACCTTTGGCTGATTCCTCGGGACTCCGCGCCCGTGTCCTGCTTCCTTTGCACCAAAGAGGAAACCTGAGTTCTGGCGCCCGCTTGGCATCTGCCTGTCCTTCGTCGTCATGGCTCACGTCAACCGAGCCTCATGAGGTAGCTTGCATAGAACTCTCCGCCCCTCAGGAGCCAGTCCTGAGGAGGCCGGTCCCCTCGGGGGTCTTGGCGTCACCCTCCTCGCGAGGCTTGGCTCCTCGCGAGGGTCTTGTGTTGTTCATGTTGAAGCTGGACCGTACCAGGCCGTCTATGAAGCCACGCGGTGGGCTGCAGGCAGGCAGGGCTGGATACCCCCGAATCTAGGACGCCGACAGATGCAACACAAGGCACATAAGTGGAAGAGGAGTTTGTAGATTTGTACTGATACATAACCTGAAATTTCTCTCAATGCCACATAGCCTGAACTTTGTTGTTTACAGTCTTCAGTCTCTGACAGGTGACGACAGCTTGGTAAATACCGCCTGCAAGATGGCGGGGAGAAGATTAGACGACCAGGAGGATGAAGGAAACAGGTAGTAGGTTCAAACTTCCCACATGATCAAACATTAACAAGGGGACTCAAACTGATACCTGCATATATACTTCAGAGACAAACTTCCCAACTAAGAAGATTCAAAGAAAAGAAACAAGATCACAGTGATCCTATCCTATATTCATATTAAATGTGGCCATCTACTTCTATTGTGCGAATTACTTGCTCACATGACGGCCTCCACTAGAATAAAAAAACCCGAGCCCCAAATGATCGAGCTGCACTTACCTATTATGGGCATATGATATGAGGACATAGTTGTTCAAATATATATAGTTAAAAATATGACTAAGTTGAGGATCTGCGAACACAATAATGGTCAAACTTTCCACAAAATAATAGATAAGGAAGATTGTACATTCATCAAATACTCAAAGCAATGTTCTAATATATTATCATGGACGAAAGGGAAAAGCAGATCAAAAAGTGTTCTAGTCCCTTACTCACAGTTTACCTGGTTGTTGCACAAGGAAATTAAGTGGATGGTGAACTCTGTTAAGAGACAGAGAACCAAGATCAAAGAAATGGAGAGCTGCTAACAAAGGGATAATGAACTTGCGCCATTTTTAAGTCAAATGTACTAATACAATATTCTTGAACTTTAACACATTTGGTGGAAAAAATTGTTGGATAATAGCCAAATGCCAATACATATACATGTGTGGTAAAATGCAGGAAACCCCTTATACAATGGGGATATACCGAAAAGAGACTATACACATCTAACACCCCCCTCAAACTCATGGTGGATCAACAACACTGAGTTTGGAGAGGAAAAAGGTATGCTGCGCTCGAGTCTGTGCCTTCATGAAGAAGTCAGCCAACTGTAACTCTGAGGGCATATAGTGAAGAGCGAGAGTCTGATCCTGCACAGCAGCACGCACAAAGTGGGCATCAACACCGATGTGCTTGGTGAGCTCATGCTTCACCGGGTCACGCGCAATACTGATAGCACCAATACTGTCTGATAGTAAGGGAGTCGAGGTAGGAGCAGACACACCAAAATCCTGAAGTAACCATCGCAACCAGATCACCTCAGCCGTCAACATAGCCATGGCTTGCAACTCAGCCTCTGTACTCGAGCGAGAAACTGCAGTCTGTTTCTTTGTCTTCCAGGCAATAAGAGAGCCACCAAGAAAGACACAGTAAGCAGACAGCGAGCGTCTATCAGAGGGATCACTAGCCCAGGTAGCATCAGAGTAAGCCTGGAGCTCAAGAGAACCGGAGTGAGGAAAGAAAAGGCGCTAAGAGATCGTGCCACGAAGATATCGTAGGACACGGAGGAGGTGACTATAGTGGACAGAGGTGGGAGCTGAAACAAACTGACTCAGGATGTGAACGGGATAGGAGATGTCAGGACGCGTAACAGCAAGATAGACATGTTGGAAATATGCCCTAGAGGCAATAATAAAAGTGTTATTATTATATTTCTTTGTTCATGATAATAGTCTTTTATTCATGCTATAACTGTATTATCCGGAAATCGTAATACACGTGTGAATACATAGATCACAATATGTCCCTAGTAAGCCTCTAGTTGACTAGCTCGTTGTGATCAACAGATAGTCATGGTTTCCTGGCTATGGACATTGGATGTCGTTGATAACGGGATCACATCATTAGGAGAATGATGTGATGGACAAGACCCAATCCTAAGCATAGCACAAAGGTCGGTTAGTTCGTTTGCTAGAGCTTTTCCAATGTCAAGTATCTCTTCCTTTGACCATGAGATCGTGTAACTCCTGGATACCGTAGGAATGCTTTGGGTGTATCAAACGTCACAACGTAACTGGGTGACTATAAAGGTGCACTACAGGTATCTCCGAAAGTGTCTATTGGGTTGACACGGATCGAGACTGGGATTTGTCACTCCGTATGACGGAGAGGTATCTCTGGGCCCACTCGGTAATGCATCATCATAATGAGCTCAAGGTGACCAAGGTGTTGGCCACGGGATCATGCATTACGGTACGAGTAAAGTGACTTGCCAGTAACGAGACTGAACAAGGTATTGGGATACCGACGATCGAGTCTCGGGCAAGTAACGTACCGATTGACAAAGGGAATTGTATACGGGGTTTCATCGAATCCTCGACATCGTGATTCATCCGATGACTTCATCGAGGAGCATGTGGGAGCCAACATGGGTATCCAGATCCCGCTGTTGGTTATTGACCGGAGAGTCTCGGTCATGTCTGCATGTCTCCCGAACCCGTAGGGTCTACACACTTAAGGTTCGGTGATGCTAGGGTTATCAGGAAGACAAGTATGTGATTACCGAATGTTGTTCGGAGTCCCGGATGAGATCCCGGACGTCACGAGGAGTTCCGGAATGGTCCGGAGGTAAAGTTTTATATATGGGAAGTTGTTAAACGGGCACCGGAAAGTTTCGGGGTCATACCGGTATTGTACCGGGACCACCAGAAAGGTTTCGGGGGTCCACCGGGAGGGACCACCCCTCCCGGGGGGCACTTGGGCTGCGTAGGGATAGCAGCCAGCCCCTAGTGGGTTTGGCGCCCCCCCCTTGGGCCCATGCGCCTAGGGTTGGGGGGGGGGGAAACCCTAAAGGGGGCGCAACCCCTTGCTTGGGGGGCAAGCCCCCCACCCCTTGGCCGCCGCCCCCCCTAGGGTTTTCCCAAGAGGGCCGCCCCCCTTGCCCCTTCCCCTATATATAGAGGGGTGAGGGGAGGGCTGCAACATACCACAACTCAAGGCGCAGCCCCTCCCCTCCCCAACACCTCTCCTCCTCCGTACGTGCTTGGCGAAGCTCTATCGGAGTACTGCTGCACCAACTACACCACGCCGTCGTGCTGCCGTTGGAGCTGCCTTCCTCAACCTCTCCTTCCTCCTTGCTGGATCAAGACGGAGGAGACGTCTCCCATCCCGTACGTGTGTTGAACGCGGAGGTGCTGTCCGTTCAGCACTTGGACATCGATGATCCGAATCACGTTCGAGTACGACTCCATCATCACCATCCCCTTGGCAAGCTTCTGCTCGTGATCTACAAGTGGTGTGTAGATGCAAACTCTCTCCCTTGACTCGTTGCTTAGATGAACTCATAGATGGATCTTGGTGAAACCGTAGGAAATTTTTTAATTTTCTGCAACGTTCCCCAACAGTGGCATCATGAGCTAGGTCTATGCGTAGTTCTCTTTGCACGAGTAGAACACAATTTTGTTGTGGGCGTGGATCTTGTCAACTTGCTTGCCTCTACTAGTCTTTTCTTGCTTCAGCGGTATTGTGGGATGAAGCGGCCCGGACCAACCTTACACGTACGCTTACGTGAGACCGGTTCCACCGATTAACATGCACTAGTTGCATAAGGTGGCTGTCGGGTGTCTGTCTCTCCCACTTTAGTTGGAGCGGATTCGATGAAAAGGGCCCTTATGAAGGGTAAATAGAAGTTGACAAAATCACGTTGTGGTTATTCGTAGGTAAGAAAACGTTCTTGCTAGAACCCAATTGCAGCCACGTAAAAGATGCAACAACAATTAGAGGACGTCTAACTTGTTTTTGCAGCGATTGATCATGTGATGTGATATGGCCAGAAGTTGTGATGAATGATGAATTGTGATGTATGAGATCATGTTCTTGTAATAGGATTCACGACTTGCATGTCGATGAGTATGACAACCGGCAGGAGCCATAGGAGTTGTCTTTATTTTTGTATGACCTGCGTGTCATTGAAGAACGCCATGTAACTTACTTTACTTTATTGCTAAACGCGTTAGTCATAGAAGTAGAAGTAGTCGTTGGCGTGACAACTTCATGAAGACACGATGATGGAGATCATGATGATGGAGATCATGGTGTCATGCCGGTGACAAGATGATCATGGAGCCCCGAAGATGGAGATCAAAGGAGCTATATGATATTGGCCATATCATGTCACTACTTTATATAATTGCATGTGATGTTTATTATGTTTTATGCATCTTGTTTACTTAGGACGACGGTAGTAAATAAGATGATCCCTTACAAAATTTCAAGAAGTGTTCTCCCCTAACTGTGCACCGTTGCTACAGTTCGTCACTTCTAAGCACCACGTGATGATCGGGTGTGATGCATTCTTACGTTCACATACAACGGGTGTAAGACAGTTTTACACAGCGAAAACACTTAGGGTTAACTTGACGAGCCTAGCATGTGCAGACATGGCCTCGGAACACAGAGACCGAAAGGTCGAACACGAGTCGTATGGAAGATACGATCAACATGAAGATGTTCACCGACGATGACTAGTCCGTCTCACGTGATGATCGGACACGGGCTAGTCGACTCGGATCGTGTAACACTTAGATGACTAGAGGGATGTCTAATCTAAGTGGGAGTTCATAATTTGATTAGAACTTAATTATCATGAACTTAGTCTAAAACCTTTGCAAATATGTCTTGTAGATCAAATGGCCAACGCTCATGTCAACATGAACTTCAACGTGTTCCTAGAGAAAACCAAGCTGAAAGATGATGGCAGCAACTATACGGACTGGGTCCGGAACCTGAGGATCATCCTCATAGCTGCCAGGAAACAATATGTCCTAGAAGGACCGCTAGGTGACGCTCCCGTCCCAGAGAACCAAGACATTATGAATGCTTGGCAGTCTCGTGCTGATGATTACTCCCTCGTTCAGTGCGGCATGCTTTACAGCTTAGAACCGGGGCTCCAAAAGCGTTTTGAGCATCACGGAGCATATGAGATGTTCGAAGAGCTGAAACTAGTTTTTCAAGCTCACGCCCGGGTCGAGAGATATGACATCTCCGACAAGTTCTATAGTTGTAAGATGGAGGGAAATAGTTCTGTCAGTGAGCACATACTCAAGATGTCTGGGTTGCACAACCGTATGACCCAGCTGAATATTAACCTCCCTGATGAGGCAGTCATTGACAGAATCCTTCAGTCGCTCCCACCAAGCTACAAGAGCTTTGTGA